ACAGGTACGGTTCCGGGCGAGTGCTATGGGTTCTTCATGAATTTTCACCTTTTCGTTAATCCATAGACGAAAAACCCCTGCGCGCCAAAATCAACCCAATCCACCTCTGCACAACATAAAAACGATACATTAAAACAAATATTTGTATTCTACTTCTTAGCATGTGGGGCACGTACAGAATCGTTGAATGCACATCACGCCCGTCTCGTTTGACAGGGCTCATTTATCACGGTTGCAGTTTTAGGGCGAATGCTATGGTTTCCTCATAAATGTTCACCTTGTCTTCGATCCACAGACGAGTCACTGCGAGAATATCCTACGCTCTATAGAGTTTTGCCAATGGTATAGTAAAAGATAGCATGGTCAACTGTGATCACCGTTAGTGACGAATGGTCCGCCCCGAGCCGATATCACATCCGGCAATGAGTGCAGATTGCACTAGCCCCAGCAAATTTTTCAGCGGATGATTCACTTTAGGATCTTTAACACTGCAGGACCAGTCTCCTTTCAACGTCGGGCCACATGCTTGAGAGCATCCCTGCAAACAAGAACACACTGTATTTAGATCCATGCGCACATCGCGGGTTAAAAGTTGCTGAACGAAGGCGTGACTTGGAAAACGGTCAGCATAGGTATTCACGTAGCTGGTTATGGTTTACGGAAACAAAAGTTTTGAAAACCTGAATGAACGCGAATTTGTATGCGTTAAATAGCCACATACTGAACGAATGTGAGCGCCGGGAAAACAACTGACGAAAGTAAATGTTGGGAAATAAGTGAAGGCGTAGTAGCGAACATCGCGAAAAATGTCGACATGGCGAAAGCTGGCGACATGCTCCTGGTATTACGTACAAAGATGGACTATACGTTGATTCCAGCGGTGCACCACCATGCACAACACGCCTAGCGCCCAAAGTTGGTCGTCACGGCTGAAGCTGACGGTGAATGCACAGGGACCCACTGCAATGTCTGACCAGTTAGCGGTGCTTAAGATAAAAAATGACATAGATTATTAGGCCCACGAGACGTAAAGTTTGTGCACCCTGTTTACCATGACGAGTTTTGCCGCTTTTACCGGCTCTCAAAATATGGCGCAGGTGGAGCACAATGAGCACAAGCCACCTTCCGCCTAGGTTTCCTCGGGAATGACGATTAGGGGCCCGATTTGAGGATCTGAAAGGCCGGCCGTAGGAAGTACTCGAGAGCCATTCTGATCTGCTGAATCGATAAGGGGTATATAGGACCTGAGGACCCATTTTCCACGCTGCGGCAAAGCCGGGGCCCAACGATTTACACCGCCCGGGGCCCGTGTGTTCGTCAGGGGCCATAGTTCATAACATAGAGTCCTATGTTAGCGAGGGGCCCAAATCAGCGGAGGGCAGTGTTCGATGAGGCCCGAAAAGGATCCTGGGGGGTCACCAAAATTGTTGATCAAGAGCCCGGTCGCAGGGCACGATAGACAGAAGAGCTGGAAAAAGATCTCACAAAGGATTCAAGCCCGTAGGGCCGTGACATGAACTGTAAATGGAAGGGCAGATGACAATTCACTTGTTATGATGAGAACTCCCATTAGGACAGCTGAATGGTCCTGTGTCTGTCAGGGCCCTAACACCAAATGGTGGGCCCTACAACCAAAATGCAGCCATGTGCCCTTTAAGTCGAACTGTAGTCTATGTGCCAATTATTGGACCTCCTACCGCGATAGGTGATCTTGTTGCGACAGTGAGGGCTCCTGTCTCGCTCCGAGGCAACCGGGCGGGTCAGTGGGCCATCGGAGTCAGGGAGGGCACCATTATGATATGACGTATCCTTCTAAGGGCCTCCGAATCGACCAGGGGACCCCACCGTGTCACCAGAATGACAGCATGAAGGCGCCCTGCACTAGGATGGAAGGGCCCCTTAGGCTTTGATCGGGAACGAGTGTGCTACCAAGTACCAATGTGCTACCAAGTGTTCTACTCAAAGGGCCCGTTCCCAGGACAAGTGTTGTTTGCCTAAGAACGTTCACCCTTTTCAAGAATCGACTAGGGAAACAAAATACTCCAAAAAGTTTTGAGCCTGACCGCTCGCAATCTCTGGAGAACAGCATCGGTCGGGGTTGGTCTTGGTATAACGGAACGGTGCTTGGCCAATTCAAGCAACACCAGGGGACGGGGGCCATGCGCACGAGAATCAGCGTCGTGAAATGGTACTTCCGAAAATATTTCAAAATAAACCCTTACCGTAAACGGTGGCGTATCGTTTTAACAATTTTAGGCCTTTCCACTTGAACCACCAAATTTTCGCCCGCCCATTGGCCACCTCTTTGTTTTGCCCACCGGGCCGACGCCGAGCAGCATGGTGGGCTGCAACGCCGGGCTTAGAAGTTTTCGTTGCTAAGCTTTGGGAGCGTATATGTCAAAACTAAGTTACATTGTTTGTATTACGAATCAGCTCTGATCAAATGCCCAGCGTTTGCAAGACCAGCATGGGTTGGCCATGTTGATACAATTCTTGACCTACTTCAATCTTCAATCTACATTCACCAGGCCCTCAGTACTGCTCTGTACGTTCAATACGTTAAATCTTTCTGTAGGACCCAGATCTGAATTTTGGCCAAGGTTCTCAGTTCGATCATTCAAGAAAGAGTCCAATGTACCATAACTACAATCGTTTGACACCCAATTTCTTCTGTTTACTGCCTCAGCACACAACTGTCCTCACTTTCTGCCATACGGAAGGCATTATCTCAGCAATCGATGTAGCTTTGTCGGGTGCACTATGGAATGTCAGTCAATGTCCCTGTAGAACCGAGATCAAAATGTTGGCAAATTTTCTTAGTTCCGTCGGTCTAGAAAGTCCAGCGCACCGTTGTGAATCTAAGCGCGCCGGCAATTTAGTTCATGCAATCGCTTGACGCCTGATCTGTTCATTTTATTTCCTTAGCATAAAACTCCTCGCACTCTCCACCATACGGAGACCTGAGCCATCGGTGCTAGGTTGTAAGAGCTTGATTGGATGCCCTGTGTGTGATGTAACATTTTAAATAGAAAAAATGTTGTGGAAACAATGTTAGTTCACACATTCTTGCTGCAACCTGGCTGTTCCGTTGTGAGTCAATCTCCTTGAATTTGGTCATGTAAACAGACCCAGCAGACAGCTTGGACGTAAACTCGTCTCAATGTGGTCTGCGGCACACACCATGCCAGCAGGTTGTTAGTTTTTGTAAGTGCTGTTTCCGGCTTTTTTTGGCTATCTCTTCGCCCGGAGCCTCGTAATATGCTGGAATATCACGAGGAGTATGCATGTGCGAACACGCAATGCGGAACGTTCCCTTAACACGCGTTCGGGTGGGGGTCAAATTGACCCTCCGAAGGTTTTTCCAGAGTGGTTTCCGGATGCCGCGGCCACGCCGCGCCAAATTTTGCAAAGATGCAGACAATTGAATAGCGGATCGTTCGGCATAAAAAATTAGATGTACCTTGTAAAGTCACTGACCTATGGCAGATCAGTCAGTCCATGGTTTCAGCCAAGCCAATTTCTAGAGAATCCCTCAATCTGATCCAACAACGGAATGTTAGACGAAGGCGTACATCTCTGACATGTTGTCTTAGAACACACAACAGTTGATTGAGCAAATCACATTGACCGACGGTCAGGTATGAAGGTCACACCAAGGTCAAAACCAACCTGTTTTGTTACTCTAGGGCTCGCTTTATGGGATAGTTTCTGTTGCTCATTTCGAGTTTATTGATAGCAGGAACCGCATTATACATCTCCCATAGACTTCTTAGAGGTCAGAATAGGCCAATGATCTAAAATGACACGGGTCAACATTTTGTTTTACGAACATACTACCTAGCGTAATATTTGTCGCTTAGTCAAATACAAAACTCAAAGCAATTTTGTATGATTTTAGTCACCTTTACCATCAAAAGGTCAAAAAAGGTCACTGACCTTAAATGAAAATGTGACCTCTTGCTTAAAAACGGTTAGCTAGGTTCTGAGGCACTCTGGAGACCAACCTGAAACTTGACATTATTTGACCTTTTTTGACCCGAAGGTCATGATCCAGGAGCCTGAAAATTTTACCTAAGTGAGTTCACGTGCTGGTCAGCACACCCTGTAAATTTAGTGTCTTTAGCTTTCTTAGTTGCATTTATATCCACGAAACCTTTTAAGGCAAAAAAAGCCCGCCGGATTGCCCATTCAGAAACAGTATCATCTGGTTGTGACAAAAAGCAATGCCAAAGGCGTTCTCATACCCTACCTCGTTAAGGCCATATACACTTACGAAATACAGTTAATCTACCAAAAATGGTTATCTTTGGGATGAATAATGAAGAAGATAGCTTCGTACCGACGATCACAGTGGTTCGTCAGCTAAAAATCTTAATGTTTCCTTCAAGGACGGCATGCACCACATCCTTACCAGGCAAGACATCACGCCAAAAATGCCAACTTGCTGAAATGCCATCGTTTTGCGGGCAACGTTAAACACATATTTGTATCCAGACAAGGTCATAGTATAAATATCAAAATTCGATTTCGAACTGGAAGCACAACTGCACTACAACGATTGTCCGTCCCATGGAACTCCCACGGACTTCAAGCACATCGCAAAAGCAAAAGACATCTTACCCTCGTCTGTATGATTTCTGGAACGCTTGATGTATATACTTCCCCTGCCACTGTTAACTCGCACGATCACTGTCACACTGACGTCGGCAGCACTGCCTTCAAAAGCAGCTGTGCTGTGCAGACAGTGCGGTTGCCGACGCCTCGACATCTTCTTGCAGACTGCCCGGCCTTGATATGGATTTAAAGACACCTGCGCGATTACCTATTGTTGCCTTCCCGCCATCTAACGCTGTATCGAGTTCTCATGCAACAGACTGTCATTGTTGGCACATTCGTCTTCCGCGCCATATCCGGAAACTTCCGCGAGCCGAGGATGGCAAGTGCGGGTAGTGACTGCCATGATATAGGAGACGAAACACACCCGACATGGCAAATGCCTTGCAGCCTAAAAAGCCAGATACGGCCAAGGATTGTGAAACTGCTACTGCCCAGCGCCATCAGGGACTGAAGTAGCCATCGGCCCAACATTATCAGGAGCCTCGATACTGCTACAGGGCTCGACCCAGACCACCGTTGTCAGTGCCATGGCTCAGGCAGAAGCCCAGGCACGTTCAGAGGCTCTATACACTTAGCGGGCCTGATACATCCACGTGCCCAACGTGGACAGGGGCTCTGAAAAGGTTTAAGTGTTAACGGTCAGGAGCCCCGCCACGTTGAGAGGTCAGCAAGGCCAGGAGTTCTCACACAGTCATGCCCCGTAACGGTCAGGACCTAGCACGGCCAAGAACCCTGTCACAGCCATAGACCTCCACCATAATCAGGGTTGCGACATGACGAAGGGTCCGATTCTACCGGGAAGACGTGTTCAGCGGCCCAACACGATCTGGGCTCCGACACCGACACTGGTCATCACTGTCACTGCGCCGCCTGACGCAGTCAGAGGTTCGACATGGCCAATGGCCCAACATTGACCCTCACGGCCACCACATTAGCAGTGTCAGGGGCTATATGGACGGGGCCCAGAAACGGTCATAGGCCCCCAACATTGACATCGCCAAGGCCAGGGACTTGCTGAAGTCGGGGACTCCAAATGCCAAGATGTGTCACGGTCAGGGGCCTTCGACACGGTCGGAGGCATGATAATTACGGGCTAGGCGTTATCAGGGGCTACGAAATGATGAGGGTTACAGAAAAGGCATGGGCCTCATATTACTATATATCTAGACATCGCAGTGTTTAATACGGTCATCCACGTTCACAAGAATGTCAGCATAGTCCAGAACAATGGACGGATCATGGGCCCGATATCATCAAGGGTATCGCCCTGCCATAGGCCCGAACCACGAACCCTGACGTTGCTTTTGAATTAAATCTGTTACACAAACCAATTCGCTACGTGGATTTTCCGCTGTTTAACATCAGTATACACTCAGCTGATGAATATTTGCGTTTATGTGTCACTCCTGGTATGTGGGTACCTTCAACACCCACAAACTTGCCAGCCACAATTGGCTCCGCCCACTACCATACTTCGAGTATGCATACTCCAAAGGTAATAGTGGTGGGATGTGGGCACATAAAAATCGCGTGCCCGTAAAACTTATCGACCGGCGCTCGAGCTAACGTGGCAAAAGGAACCTCCAGTACGATCTTTTTTTCAACCAGTTTGAGGGAACACAGCATGTGCCCACAAACCAAAATGTCCCCACATCCCAGGTGTATTGCATTTTTATGTATCCGTAAACCAAGTATTTACAAACACACACACACACGCACGCACGCACGCACGCACGCACGCACGCACACACACACACACACACACACACACACACACACACACACACACACACACACACACACACACACGCACACACACACACACAGCCAGGTAGAGCACAATAGTAGCCAAATCATAAAACTCGATGAGCCCATCTATGACGGCAGCACGTCGGCACTGCACCGATGATCACGGTTCTGGCAGTCACCCGGGGGACACGGCCGCAGTGACACAGCTCTGAACAGCGCCGCGGCCGCGCAACACGGCGTCAAAGTGTCTTCCCGCCTGTCGCCAGCGCGCTCGACCTCCCGCACCGCGGCCGCCCCCCCTGGCCACCCCATCCAGCTCTAATTTAGCATCTTCATCAGCTCATCGATCATCTTGCCTACGCCGTCGAAGACCAGGTGGAACTGGCGAGTGTCGTACATGAAGGCGGGCGTGGTAACCAGCCGGTTGTCGGCGTCGACGCACGCCTCGCCGACGCCGCACTCCTGGACGGCGGCGCCCCAGCCGGCGGCCACGTCCAGCGCGCCCGCGTACGGCCACTGCTGGCCGCGTCCGCCCAGTGTGAGCCGCGCCCCCGGCAACAGGCGCGCCGCTAGCACCGGCGCGATGCAGCACAGCGCCAGCGGCCGGCCAGCCGCGTGGAACTCACGCAGCACGCGCTCCATCTCGGGGAGCACTGTCATCGCGGCGCCCTCCGTGCCGAACGACGAACTGCGGACAGCGGATGACGGTGCGAGGTCAGTGGAGGTGGTCGCAATGTACGGCGCACACTAAACGCACATTCGGAGAACGGCGCACTTGGTAATTACGGACAGGCAATGTCGTGTTTTTTCTTTAATTGCGTTTTTAACCGATTGTGGGGTGTTCTAACTGCCCGGTTTCGCTGCAATGATGTCCCTAATTCATCGCCACGTTTCGCATTCGCGGAAAGGTGAGGTCCTTGTCGACGTCGTCTGCCATTTCATAATGATGTGTCCCGACCGGACCAGGCGCACTCCAGCTTCAAACAGTGCCGGCGCTATTCCAATATCGTAAGCCTACAGTTCAGCGGCTACCGCGCGTGTATGTTACCCGCATGTACAAATTAACTTATCAAAGGCATGCATTTCGTCCTCGCCTTCCTCACAGCCTGCCATAGGCGTGCTCAGCCTCTTAAAAACGGCAACTCCAATACAACACTCGCTGCGTGGCTCTTCCGCCGCGGCTTGCCAACAGCATGTCTCGAGGATCCCTCCCGCGCTTAAGCATGACGGAAATGACGGAATCCCCAGTGAGTGGCACTGACGCCACGGAAGCATCAGCGGCAGACGGAATCCCTAGTGAGGGACACTGACGCCACGGAAGCCTCGGCGGCACGCAGCAAACGCCAACATCGTCGTAGTCGGCGGATGGACGAAATCTCTTAGTTTCTAAAGATCACAGCGTGCTAATAACTCATTAGTGAAATTGTGTAGGCAATGATCTGATGCCAAGTTCAATTATCCGTGCTTTTGCCTATCTTGGCACATATCTTACGCAGGGATTGTGGGCAGACATGTGCCTGGAGCCCGAATTAGACCCCAGGATCCTATAAACATGGAAATCTAAGGGGACCTGGATCCACTCTTGGAATCTAAGCACACATCTGGTTGTAGTCATGAAGGGTTTACAGAACACAGGCCATCGCGACGTGTTTCTTTAAAGTATTCCCTTCCAAACGAACTGACATTGTGCGCGCCAGCTTCACATGCATTTAGTGAATCCCATTTCTCGGTCGGTTGGGTGACTTCCTATCAGCGCAAGAACACAATATCCATGAACACTCCATTCAATGACATTCAATGACAAACCGCAATGACCTTGAGATTCTACAGAAACATACTGAATGAGCTGGGAATAACACTCAAAATTGTAATTTGTTTTCTGCTTTCATATAATTCAAGGCCTGCTGTCAACAAAGTAATATGATTCACGCCACGACCAGTTTGAACATAATTACAGGTTTTTGGCGGCGCCGAATCCGCCGGGGACGACGACTGCGTCCGCCTTGCTGACGTCCAGCTCGCTGAGGTTCTGGATCTGCCCCCGGGCGATCCGGGCCGACTCCTGCAGCACCCCGCGGGACTCGCCCTCTGCCGGCTCCCCCTGAGGCGCACGCACAATCGTGTCCACGGCAGTAATATTGTGGTAAGACATTGTCAGACATCGCTGCTCTACTCGCCAACTCGAATACGACTACACTTTAAGACAATACCCGATCACTATGCACCAGCCGTATCCGCTGTCTTTGTGCAATTATGCCAAAATTGTGCACTGTGCTGAATTTGTGAAATTGTGCCGCCAAAATTGCGCAGTTGCCTGATTTATTTTGTGAGGGGGGGGGGGGCAAGGAAGGTGAATGGCCACTTATGTGTGCCTGTATCGTGTATCTTCAGTGCACCACCACATCAAGACCGTGCTAGCTCCTTGAAGAACCACGCGAGTGCACACCAAAATAGCTGGTCAACGAGACAGCACGCACAATTCAATTTGTTACCGCCAAGATCACCAGCACGCAATATAAAACGCAAGTTAGGGGCAAATAAAAACGTGAACTAGCAATGGTAGTTCTTGTAGCTACACTGCACTGCGCGTGGCTCTGCTGTAACCACAATCAAGCTGAAGAATGACCGTCCCCCAAAACTGAACAGCTTTGGCCTTTACAGCCAGGTTCAGCAGGTCCTGCATTCTCCAGACCGTTTACTAATTACCTTAGTGTGGTCGATGACGTGCATCTGCTTGATGTCGGGCGCATAGCAGTGGACGGTGGCACCAGCTCTGGACAAGTGGACCAGGCAGGCCGAGGCCTCGTGCACCTCGGAGCCGTCATACACTCCGCTGCCTGCCAGCACCTGTGGCCAACAGCCGGACGGTCGGTCTCGGTCCGCGCACGCACAAGGGACATGACCACCCTCGGACAATTACTATCGCACAAATCGTGCCACACAACGTCGGCGCAGAGTGGCCTGTGCTAAGCTAACGGAGTGGCGCACCATTTCCTCCGCGACGCCCCACTTAATTTGACTAAATCACAGCCAACGTTTCCTTAAAACATGTAACTGAATCAGAAATGGTGGCATCCCACTCCAGACACAAAAGGGGAGTGGAACAGTGCAACGAGAGAGCTCGTTGCAACATTCAACACATCGCAACAGTGCACCGGCATAGCAACACATATCGACAGGCTATTTCCAGACGCGTAACGACAGGGGCCTGGAGGGTAACGACCTGCGGACTTATATATGACACGCATTCTACTGGCGGCGGTAGGCGCCTATGAAGAACAGACCGTTGTATTGCATTTCCCCATTTATAAGGGTTTCTTTCCTACACCTTCATCTGCAGAACCTCAGAAGTGCAAAATTTCCTACATGCACAGCTTTGCATGCGCAATTCGTCGCGTCTCATTTTTTTGCTTACGTCATTCATTCTATCATATTTGTTTTGCATGCATGATCATTCATATATAATTCCTTTGCATGGCACACTTTGTAAGTCATTATGGTAGGTGACAATTTTTGTAAATCTGATGAGCACTACGAGATGGGCATCATCACTCACTGCAAAACATACATCATCCAGCCTCGCGGTGAGCCGGGTGCGCCCTCTCAAAATGAGTGAACCTCCTCTGGCATGTATAACACATTTGATGCACACTAGAATGCTTCTGACAATATCAAAGGGTAGGTGAGAAAGTTCCACATCACACGTGCATGACAAGTCTGCCAGCTCGCCCAATAATGACATACATAAATGAATTGGTGTTGATGTGTACTTAAAAGTGATGCCATAACACGTCGTCATGGATCCATTGGTGGTATTGTTGCAATATGCATAGACATACCAATATACTGGTGAACACTATCTCTGTGTCATCTCCATAATGATTCCTTACAATAAGTCCATCCATGAACATAAGGCAGTGCATTTGAATTTTAATTCACTTCATATGACAAAAATGTGATGAATGGATACTGTCAAGAAAACATTTGAAGGCTCATGAACTTGCATGACAGCTTAGAAAAGTATGCTACGGTCATGTTTTACAGGATGCATTAATAAGGTGCAGACCTGTAATGGCTGATGAAAAGATAATCACTGTGATGACATTCTGCCATGGCAAAAAAGGTTTTCTGAACCTGGAGGTGAAACATCCAACTGAGACTGGAGCGTGACGCAATGCAACATAGGCATGAACCATAGGGTGACATACCATAGCGATGGTGGGAGCAGCCTTCTGCGAGGAGACGCAGAATAGGCGCACGCCATGCCCTGCCGATCGGCGAGCAAGAACGGCCGAGGCAAGCCGCAGAGCCATGCCTGCTGCCAGTAGTCTCTGCAGCACAGGACACTCTAAAAAATTCATACTTTTTGACCTAGAAATGTTCGTCAAAACCCCAGTTGCCTAAGTGCATCACATTTTGCTACCTGCCTAATTCAGAGAGCATGCAAGTTTGCCTTCCCACTGACTATGCACAAGGATCTTCATTGTTAAAAATGCTTCCAATCAACAGCAGGAATTCAGAGGCTGTGGCCATTGACCAAAGGTGAATCCCAAAAAGTAGAACAATGACTTAAAACAGTTGTTTTCAGATAACACAGTGATTAACATAACAAACAAACCAAATAAAATAAATATACATGCAAACCAATTAAACAAAATCAACATGTTAGCATTCAAAACAAGTTTGATCACAAACACTGACAAAGGACTTCTTGATTGGCTTTGGACTGCTGGGAGCCAAGAATGAGGTAACTGAAAAATGGAAAACCCTGGAAACCTGATGTGCACTTAACAACAAAGATAGTCACTGGAACATGAACAACATTGTATGTTGGAGTTGATCAGCTGCAAGTAGATGATCATAATGATGCTGAACCTTAAACATTGCTGCAACTACAAAAGCCATCATTTAGGTACTTGAGCAGCAGCAGTCATTTTCCCCATCACCAGAAAGTATAAAGCTGAAACCATTCATTCCACACATTCCACTTCCAAAACCTGAGTTCACATACATGCAGATCCAAATATGCATATATTACAGATAATATTTAATGCATTTTGGACTCAAGTAGACTTGTGCACATAACAGAAGTGTTAAACATGCTGGAGTCACTTGTGGATTCATGCCATTTAGAAATTAAGAGGTTAAATACCATTATGCATGCTAAAAAGTCATGGTCATACAATTTTTCTTGAAAAATCCATACAACATGGCACACACAAGTGGCTTTGGGTGTACAGTACTTGCTAAGCAAAGCTTGCTGTACACCACAAAATGCGGCATGGCCACCTTGGCCAGGGTTGGCCTACTGCCATCTGACCTTCTTTGTTTTTGTCCCAAACCACATGCTCCCTTGAAAGAGTATGAACTTGTGATTGCGATGCCAAACTTTAAATGCCTTTGTCATCTCCATTTTGATTTGTATGGGAGGAGTGTTGTTTTGAAAATTTAGACATTTCAAGAGCTAATTGGCAACTTAAATAGCAAGACTATTATCAGAATGTCTGTCAGCTATGATCAACCGAAGTTTTCTGATGTTGAACGTTCAAGTATGACAAAATGTCCTCAATAACACAGTTCCAAAATTTTATCTGCCAAGTCCCAGCACTCGTTCGTTCCTGATTCCTCGTCCGAATTCGAGAAATTCAGCAACGATCCATGTAAGACGCAATTAAAAAAGACTTGACAAACGAACAGGTGTGACACAAGGACGACACTCATGGTGCTCATAATGCACGAACTACGGGCTTACCCACACCGACTTAATCCAACGCCGGCGCACTTCGTAGGCTTTTCTCGAGATGCCTTATTTCAGAGTTTGTCTCACCTGCGCAGTGTTTGACTCGGTGCATCAATCTCGGAAAGTACTTAGCCCCTTTCTTGATGACTAAATGGTAGCCCATTCCCAATACATCCTCGAGAATATTTAGTGCATTTCTTGCTAAGAGGGGAAACGGTATTTAGTACTGAGTTGTCCTAAAAGTGACGGTGTAAGTATGTATGGATACTGTTGTTGATTGGAGTTTTAGGGCGCGCCGACTACTGCGGTCATTTTGCGCCCATAACAGCCGAATGACTAGCGTCGGAGTGTGACTATGAAATGACTAGAAAATATGTATTATTCAGAAATATAAACGGCTGAGTTGTATCAGGAACGCGTCATTGATACGAAATTTTTGGCAGCCTAAAAACTTCCTACACGCGGTATAAACTATTCAGGCAGGCGTATATAAAGTGCAGAACTTAACATGCGATACAAACCTGAGGGTATGTTCGATATATGGTGACCTGTCACATAGTAAATCGGAGAGCGCCAGGGACGGCGCCGCCGGGCCAAAGTACCTCAGACGCTCGACGCGTAGTGTGGGGCAGCATACGAGCACATGTTCCACTGTGAGCGTGGTGTTGCAGTGGCGACATCGTGGTAGTTCGTCGTGACATAGTAAGTGTCGATGTGTAGCATAAGTATGGCCGATCCGCAAGCGACTCAGGGTTACTTCCTCCCGTCTGGACTTTCGATAGGGTGACTGCCATTCCTGAACAATCGGTTTAATGCTCTTCAGTTTGCTAGTGCCCATCACATCCCATGCGCTCTGCCATTCCTCGCGCAAAAAGGCAGAGATGGCCGAGCACAGGTCTGTAGCGGGTATCGGAAACACTCTGCGACAGGGACGACGAGTAGCACGCTTTGCGGCGGAGTCAGCCAGCTCATTTCCCGCAATGCCAACGTGGCTCGGGATCCAGCAAAGTACTACGGTCTTGCCAGCCCGGTACAGAGAGTCGAGACGCAGTAAGATATCCTGTATAAGGGGATTTACCGGATTAAAACACCTTAATGCCGAAAGAGCACTTAGGGAATCCGATAAAATCGCGTGCAGACTGTCTTCGCCCACCTCTATAAAACAAAGCGCCTTAGTGATGGCCGCAAGCTCTGCAGTATACACGGACGCATGGACTGGCAGTGTAAATGATCGCGTATCGGGACCACACACAAAAGCGGAACCAACACCCGTATCCGTTTTCGAGCCGTCTGTATACGTAATTGTGAACCCCTGATATGTTTCGATATGCTACAGAGCTGTTGATCTGGCAAAGTACGGAATCATATTTTGCTTCCGAACCTCTGACAATGAGACGTCGACAGTTGGCGATACCATCACCCACGGAGCGGTCGGCAGGCTACGTGGGCGTGCCACACCCCGAAAACTTAAGCCGCTTTCATGAAGAACGTTACGAACACGCACACAGAAAGGCGCCACACGTGTTGCTTGTCCGGACTGAAAAACATGGGATGTATGGTGTGAGAACACGGCGTCATGTGTTGGGTGGTTCGGGAATTGCGCGAGCTTACAAGCGTACCGCATTCCCAACAACTGTCTTCGGGTAGCCAGCGAAGGTTCGTTGGCTTCCACAAGCAAGCTGGCTGTCGGAGACGTACGAAATGCACCAGTAATGATTCTCAACGCAGCATGATGGACCGCATTCAAGATGCGTTTTACGGACTCAGAGGCGCCATCATGTACAACACACGCATAGTGTAGCTTGGAGCGTATCAGTGAACGGTGTAACAACAAAAGTGTTTTCCGATCTGCTCCGTACGATGTTCGTGCCACACATTTCAGTATGTTCAGTGCCTTAAAACACTTGTCACGCAGAGTGGTAAGATGCTCCCTGTAGGTCAAACGCTTATCAAAATGTAATCCATAAAACCGTGCCGCCGTATTGCAGGGGATCGACTGTCCATAAAGCTTAAGCACCATGTCGGGACACTGACGCCGGCGTCGACAAAAGTGTACGGAAACTGTCTTCGAGGTGGAAAACCGTAACCCGTTGAGCATGCTCCATCTTTCCAAGCGAGCCACAGCCAACTGCAACTGACGCGACATGGACGCTGCTGTGGCAGAGCTGCACCAGATGGCGAGGTCATCAACAAAAAGCGAGCGACCAATCGCCTGGGGAAGACTGTCCCCAACATCATTTATCATGACGGCAAACAACGCAACATTTAGTACACTGCCCTGGGGTATGCCGTTCTCTTGTGTGTATCTTTTCGAGCATACGGAACCGACACGGACGCGGAAGAAACGGTCAGCAAGAAAGTTCGCAAGAAAGGTAAGCATAGCTCCGCGTATGCCATACTGGAACAGCTTCCGTAAGATGCCATATCGCCAGGTGGTGTCGTAAGCCCTTTCAATATCGAAGAACACAGCTCCAACATGTCGCCTTTCCCTAAAAGACATGCGCACAGTTGAGTCCAAGGCTAAAAGATGATCAACGGTGCTACGGTTTTTCCTGCAACCACACTGTTCGTTCGAGAAGATATTGTTGCTTTCTAAAAACCAAGACAATCGTGTCTGAACCATCCGCTCCAGGAGTTTGCACATACACGAGGTCAGCGCAATTGGACGGTAGTCAGATGGATTCTTCCCATTCTTGCCAGGTTTCAGCAACGGAACTATAAGCGACTCCCGCCAAGAAGTGGGGAACTCCCCCGTCTCCCACAACTGGTTGAATGCCACCAACATAGCTTGTGTCGGTGTTGGTGGAAGTCGCCGGAGCATATCATTATGAATTAAATCCGGGCCTTCCGCCACGCTGCGCAGAGAGCTAATGGCAGACATCAGTTCAAACATTGTGAAAGGTTTGTTATATGAAAACTCTTCGGCTGTATGAAAGTTTATCTGGGCTGCTTCGCAACGAGCACGATGGCGTATGAAATCAGGAGCGGCAGTTGTCCGCCCACAACGCTCCGCGAACGCACGAGCCATTTCGTTCGCCACCTTAGAGGGGTCCAGTATGTCCTGGCCATTCATATGAGGTACGGTGTGCGGCACTGAGGACTGTTGGCCTGCTAAACGCTTCACCCGCGCCCAAACCACCGAAGTCGGCGTTTGGCAATTTAGCTGGCCCACATATAAACGCCAAGACGTACGCTTGGCTTCCAAGACAGTACGTCGGGCTGCCGCCCGAGCTCGTCGAAAAGCGATTAAGTTGTCCGTAGTGCTGTGTCGATCGAAGTCTCGCAGGGCTTTTTTTACGCGCACGTATAGCATCGCGGCACTGGTCCATCCACCACGGAACAGGGGGACGACGTGGGACACCAGATGTACGTGGAATGCTTTCTTGTGCCGATCGTAAGATTGTGGAGGTGAGTTCTTCTATCGATGCAGGCACATCCGCCCAAACCGAAGCCAACCTGGTTTCCACCCGTGCCTGAAATTCATCCCAGTCAGCCTTTTTAAGATTCCACCGTTGTGGCCTGGAACCGAGAGCTGCTCCGTTCTGGTAGCGCAGCCAGATGGGGTAATGATCGCTGCCAAAGGAGTCGTTGTCAACGGACCATGTCAGGTGTACCGCCAGTTGGGGGCTTGAAAGACTCAAGTCCAGCGCCGATGTCTGGCCTGACGGCAGCGTCATGTGAGTTCGGGTCCCGGTGTTTAAAAGACAGAGTGATTCATCACGTAAAAAAATTTCGCAATGCCTGCCGCGGGTGTTGGTCTGGGCGCAGCCCCAAGATGTGTGGTGAGCATTAAAGTCACCCAGCAATCGAAGAGGCGGGGGAAGCTCGGTCACCAGAAATTTCATTTCTGCCGTCGGAAATGGAATACCAGGAGGTAAGTACAGCGAGCAGACGGTTATTGCACGACGCCCGAAAAGTATCTTAGCTGCAACAGCTTGCAGGTCAGAGTGTAAGACGACGCGCTGGACAAAGACACTGTGGTGCACAGCCAAAAGAACTCCGCCATGTGCAATTGGATCAGCTGGCGTATCCCGACGCATTACGGTGTAGCTCGGGATACTAAAATGAGAGCCAGGTGCCAGTTTGGTCCCCTGCAGGCAGGCGATGGCGGGACAGCGCTCATTCAGAATGACTCTGAGATCGTGTACACTAGTTCTCACGCCCCTGCAGTTCCACTGTAAGATACTTGTCACAAAGCTAAGAGGTGAGGGTAGCCATTACACACCTGGCTCACCAGCACAGCGCGCAGAATATCACAGTCAGCAAGCCTGCAATGGGGTGCACTAAAAGGGGGTCAAAGTCACACTTTAAGACGCGACACGGTTCAAAAGAACTGGGCTGCGCCCGTTGCAGGACCGGACACCTCGGTCTGGGAGGTACGGCTCGATTCCGCAGAGCGGTGCTCCACTCTGGGCCGAATCCTTGGGCTTCCTCCGTCGGATGGAGACGGAGGACCGGCCGGGGGGCGCTTTGTGCCAGCGTGCCCAATCCTGGGTGGTGGAGGGGGAGGACCCATGGATGGGGCCCTGCCAGACGTCTGAGGACCAGCGGGAGGCTCAACTGGTTTTCTGGGCGATGGAGCACCGCTGCGAGGGATGGACTCCTTACCCACCCCAGACGTACGGTTCGCCGCCTTTGCCCGTTCTTGTTCGGCCAGGCGCGCCCGCTTGGCATCACGGGCGCGCCTGTCCGCCTCGTGCCGCTCCAACGTTTCTATCGCCAGCCCACACGTGTTCGCTGATGGTGTCGGAGGTGACGAAGGCAGCGGAGCACAAGAAGCGGAGGCGGACGAAGGTGGCGAGGAAACCGATGTGGAGGCCGGTGGAGCCCGCGGGCCACGGCCACGCCGGACCACCGTCCAACCCTCCTCTCCGGCAGGAGACGGCGGTGCCGTGGGAGTCGGCAACGCGGAGGGTGCCGACCGGCCAGGGGGCGAAGAGGTTGTCAGCACGGTCTCCTTCGACCGCTCCAGCGAGGGAGGGGGAGCCAGGGCTGCCAG